TATATGAGGTGGATACGGCATTATACGAACAAAATATTATATGAGGTGGATACGGCATTATACGAACAAAATATTATATGAGGTGGATACGGCATTATACGAACAAAATATTATATGAGGTGGATACGGCATTATACGAACAAAATATTATATGAGGTGGATACGGCATTATACGAACAAAATATTATATGAGGTGGATACGGCATTATACGAACAAAATATTATATGAGGTGGATACGGCATTATACGAACAAAATATTATATGAGGTGGATACGGCATTATACGAACAAAATATTATATGAGGTGGATACGGCATTATACGAACAAAATATTATATGAGGTGGATACGGCATTATACGAACAAAATATTATATGAGGTGGATACGGCATTATACGAACAAAATATTATATGAGGTGGATACGGCATTATACGAACAAAATATTATATGAGGTGGATACGGCATTATACGAACAAAATATTATATGAGGTGGATACGGCATTATACGAACAAAATATTATATGAGGTGGATACGGCATTATACGAACAAAATATTATATGAGGTGGATACGGCATTATACGAACAAAATATTATATGAGGTGGATACGGCATTATACGAACAAAATATTATATGAGGTGGATACGGCATTATACGAACAAAATATTATTTGAGGTGGATATGGCATTATACGAACAAAATATGAGGTGGATACGGTATTATACGAACAAAACATTATATAAGGTGGATACGGCATTATACGAACAAAATATGAGGTGGATACGGCATTATACGAACAAAACATTATATGAGGTGGATACGGCATTATACGAACAAAATATTATGAGGAGGATACGGCATTATACGAACAAAATATTATATGAGGTGGATACGGCATTATACGAACAAAATATTATATGAGGTGGTCATGACATTATACGAACAAAACATTATATTAGGTGGACATGACATTATACGAGCAAAACATTATATGAGGTGGACATGACATTATAAGACATTATAATGCCCACATTACAACTTTATTAAATATTACCTAATTTAATTGTCACTGACATTTAAGTTGATTTTGCCAATAATTATGAAACGAAGTACCAAGTTACTTAAAATTAAAGTTGAAGTTAACATTACAGTTGTTGAAAATTGCATTTGTGGCAGTATTACTCAAAAAACTATTTCAAAGATAGCCTTAGTAGAGATGCGCTGTTTCAAGGAATGTTGACATGCAAACAAATATTCTAAACATACTTATTCATTTTAGCTTAAGAAAGAGTCATGTTTATGAGAATTTGGTACTCTAAATTTAATATGGACTTTCTGAACCCTTTCCTACTCGAACTTCACATCACAGAAAACTGTATAAGTTACAAAAATATATTTTTTAACCTTTATTATTGAACTTGAGCGAATTTGAATTCTTGTTTTTTTTGCATGCTCCAATGTTTTCAATCAGAAGTAATATAAACATTGCAACAAATAATTCATGCATGAATTGGAATATGACATGAAAAGATTGGATACGCACTGTTCTAAGAGTATCACTCGCAGAACAACAGTACAAAATGATATTGATAATCCGACCATTGTGTTACTGATTTCCCACAACGAACTTTGTTTGAAATTGCTTTTCAGTTCTATTCAATGCTGAAGTTAACGAACCTTAACTTCAACCCCGAAAAAGTTGTTTTTATATTTGCAAGTATAATGCCAAGACTAATAATGCCAAGACTAATAATGCCAACTATTATCAAACATTGAAATTCGTCAAGTGCACATGCTCAGCGGTACGAAGTAGAGACTCGGAACCAGAGCTACTCGGCCAATTTGGCCCAAAAATCATCCCACATTTCAGTGTGACTGAGACGATAACCAGACCGTTCGTTGCAGAGTTAAAAAGAAGACAGCTGTAGGGACATTCAGTTGTCCCTGCTGGGACGCAAAGGTTTCCTTTGCCTTCCGTTCCTCATGAATAACATGAGGGACGATTACTGGTATTACATGCTATTCATGAGGGAGGGATGTTCGCTTGTAAACATCCCTCGGAAGACAAAAGAATCCGAGGTGATCATGGTATTACAACAGAATCATACTTGTTTCAAGCATAGGTTTCATCAATTTATAAAGTCATTCAAGGCTGTAATTTTGTTGATTCTCTATATTTTTTAAGATCTCTCTCAATCGAGTTCTGCTGATGGTCTTGGGTCAGCGAAATCCCCACACTTCTTGGCAAAAAATATTCGTACAGATTGTTGCTTTTCCCCATATTTTTGCAGTATTTTCAATATAGCATCATCTTTTTCTTGTTGTCGAAATGTCAAAGCGATAAGTCATCCTATTATTCATAAAAACTGAGCCTTAAGAAGCTTGACGAAAGTAAATTGCTTTTCGTATTCGCAAATCGATTTCCCGGATGTGTAGACGCGTCGTAGTTATGACAAAATTGGCGGGAATATTTCTGTGCTTTGATTTCGCTCTCCTGTGGATTTTTTTCTTATGATTACTTTTTCTAATATTATCAATTTGGAAGATAAGTGTTTGAGAAAAAAAAATTGATGTTTCAACAAATATTTTGGCGATTTTGGAGTATGGTTTTCCTGTGGTGGTACACGGACGCAAGGAAACGTGCGTACACGCGGGAACCCTGTACCGGTCCATCAAAAACCGACTCGATGGATATAACATTTTTTCTTAGCTATATGGTGCTCCTTCGGCCCGCGCGTGAGCTCCGCTATGACTGAGCCTTACCAGCTTGTAATGGTTCTCTAGCTTTTTAGGATTCTTTATGTACTCTGGATAACCTATCAATACCCGCATAGCTAAGGCCTGAGGAAACAAAGAATTCAGTTGAAGTTAGACGAGTAAAGTTATCCTTTAGCAGCATGATTGTGATGATTGTGATTTGATGATTGTCACTTCATCAGTTGAAGTTACGGTCACTTATCCATCCATCCATATAATCCTCCTTTCAACGACTGACTTTGTTACTTTTTGCTAGCAATACTTAACCTTTTCCTTAGCTTGTCTTTGAGTTTCTGCGTCCATCCACGTTTGTTGTGGGAGTCGATTGACAAATGATTGCTTGAGATCGTTCGTCATTTCTTCGACCTGTTAAGAGTACATGTACAATCTCAGTTTAATAAGAATCATCTTTTAGCAACTGAATAATTGTGGTTTTTGAAAGGATAATTTTGGTTTCTGAAGTTCGAATCTTACATTATCTCCATTCATAAAGTGTAATTTGAAAGTTTATTCTTATACTACGAGGTTTTGTTTTTTATTGTCTTTTTTTTATTGTCATTTTTCGTTGCAGTTGTTGCTGTTGTTGTTGTTGTTGTTATTGTTGTCATGCATCTTTAATTGTACATTCAGAAGTCTATAAACGAATTTGAACTTGCCGTTGTCTTGGATTTGAAGTCAAACTTAGCGTTCACGTACATCAATCCAAGCGTCATGTCGAAAGCGTTCATCATAAGCTGATCAATACAAGCATTTTCCCTTGCTGATGGATTCATAGATGATGCGTTCAGGGTAACAGCACCAAGATATTGACGAATTGCTCGCCACATCACATAATCACGTATAACGTCTCCATTCCTACAGAAATGTAAATTCGATTTCATGGCAAAACGTAACCGTTTAAGATTCATTTGCCTACAGATTACCACATTTTAAAAGTCCGTCTGTGATAGAGCCAAAAAGTTTGTTCCGACCCCCAGCGGACTAGCAAGGATATATGAAGTGATTTCTGATTGGCTGTTACCAAATCTGTTAGCAAATTCTAAAACAATGATTGGGCGATGACTTGTCACAAAAATCACTTCACACTCGCGAAGGCGCAACATAAAATGGCGTTCGAAGAGGCTTTCAAAGAAGTCGACAAACAGTTCGAAATCGAACAGCTTCTTCCCAAACAAAACGGATGGAATTGAAGGGCTGTACATTGTTGTTTATTGCTGAGACAATTTTGTCAAAAATAGCAATTCAAACTTTCGAGCTGTCAAGTCTAGAACGTTGCGATTCTGAAGTATTACTATACTGAAGTTACTCACTACTGCGTGATACAGTGTGCTTCATCGATTGCTACTTTCACAAGCTTTGTTTGGAAGGTAGGATCACTTAAAATATCTCCACCAGTGTTTGACGACAAGTATTCCGGAGAGCAATAAACAACAATGACAGAGACTTCCCATTCACGATTTCAGCAACAATCGGTACGGACTGGAAAATCAAGGATTTTCCATATCGTGTAGGCCAATTCACTAACAAATTTCTCTCCTTGAAGAGTGCTTCGATTCCATCTTTTTGTTCGGGAAGCTGTTAGATTTCGAACTGTTTGTCGACTTCTTTGAAATCTTCTTCGAACTTCATTTTATGGTTGTTGTGACAAATCATCGACCAGTCATCGAAGGTTTTTTGTCCTAAGGACATAGTTGTGCCAACAAGAAGGCTGGTGCAATGTATTGATACCTTGTGGAGAATGCGATATCAAGTACATAGGTGAGCCTGGTTGTTTTTGAAGACAAGGAAAAGTGGGCACATCTCGCTTCATACAAACAATAACAACACTGGACACTCAATCGACTGGGGGCTGCTACTTCAGTAGTAAAAACAGAACAGAAATTCCAACGAAGAAAGTGGCTGGAGGCTTGTGAAATTGCCAAGTGTCACAAAATAACAAGGAATGACCGGGAAATCGATGTCAAATAATTCTCGCTGAATTCAAACGCTGAATTGTAAACGTTAGATACTACAAAAAGGAGTTGACTGGCCAAACTTGAAGGATGTACTTCATCTAGGGAGCGAGAAATTCAATTTTAGTTCTCAATACATTTCTTTGTATTTTGCACGCGCGTTACGCGCTGATAACCACGGAAATTACAAAGAAATGTATGGGGAACTAAAAATGAGTTTACTCGCTCTCTAGATCAAGTACGCCCTTCAAATTTGGCCAGTTAACTCCTTTTTACAGTATCTAACGTTTTCAATTGATAACTCTTTCCGAATTTGAATTCAGCGGGAATTATTTGACATCGATTTCCCGGTCATTCCTTGTTATTTTGCGACACCATGCCTACCTCATCTATTAATCAATAAAATCTCTGTTTTCTCTTACGAAATCTCAGGAGATCGATAGATAGCTTGATTTTACAATGGAAACCTACTGTTTATGCTAGGTAAACAGACGGGAACTATTTTCCTATTTTTCTCAATAAGAAGCGGGGCAATTAAGCAAAGATGAATTAAAGAAATTTAAGCAAAGATGAATTTAAGTCTTTCAGTTTTAGCGCTTTGTGTCTGTGTAAGCTCAGGTAAGTATTCCACAAAAATGGAAATCACTTTGTCTATAAAAAGCAAAATTCAGTGTATACAATTATTTGCTGCCTGTCCACACGGACAAATAAAAATTGCCACATATCGTTTTCACATAAAAAATGCTTTGTGTAGTCGGGCTTTAAAGGGCAACTGACCCCCCATTTTTGCCTTTTTTACATAAAACTTTGAAGTTTGTAGATCAGAAAAATCCAGTTTTGACACCAATCGGGACTTTTTTATTCAAGAATTTCGCTGATGAAACTCAGGATTTTGTACGATGGAGTCGCGCCATATTGCCGTTTTACCGTGGGCTCAGATGAAAAGGGTCATGACGTCACACCGTGAAGGCCATATAGGTGACAACTGTAAGCTACCACTGACACACTGATTTATCAAACTTTTTCTTCGTTATTTGGCACATTTATCGCAACAACATGGATCCAGAAAACGAGAGTACTAGCGACTCGAGTTCTAGTTCTTCATCGGAGATGNTCTTTTTCTTTTCATCCCCGTTAACTGCTCCATTAAATCCACTTCGAAGCACGAACTTTCAAAGTGCTCGCTACATACATAGCAGTTCTTCAGATTGGGTAAATTCTCCCTCTTTATTCGAGCAAGCCATGCCTTCTGAAGAGCTTGATCGTTCGGGATTTTGTGGTAACTGACAGACTCAGTCTTAACAGAATGGTTGGTGCACTCGGGCACACAACAATGAACCATTTGGAATAATAAAACTACTACAAAGATCTCTATACGCTGTATTTTGCACGTGAAACCTACAAATTCTCAATGTGTGAAGAAATGCTCTTYACGTTGTGACGTCACAGGCTTAATGCGGTAATGTTCCGCGGGCTCAGATATGGCGGCATTCAATAGTAATTTTTCGCGTTTTGAAAAAAAAAWTTCGGCTACAGGGAAGCTGTACATGATAACAAAGTTGGATTTTTCTGATCTACATACATTGTAGTTTTATATAAAAACGGCAAAAATGAGGGGTCAGTTGCCCTTTAATTATTATTCTCATCTTTCTTGCATTTCATTTGTAATAGCGCATGCATTGTTTTATATTGCGCGCCCAAAACAGTTTGATTTCAGTTTAAGTACGTGTTCGTTTTTGTAACGTCTTTGTGTTCCCTAAAGATCACCGCTTAGGTCGAAAGCTAGGAATAAATTGTTAAAATTATTCATGGTTGATTTACCAAACTACTTGTAAAAACCTTAAAATAATTTGTTAACCTCATGCTCTCTTTTCATTACCTAAACCATTTCAACCGTCACTGCCATCACCACCAAAATTTCCAACAACACCATTTCCACCTAACACTACTACCACTACTATTTCCGCTTCAATTTTATTAAAGATTATAAATTCAAAACTTACCCAGAATCCAGTGTGTTCTGATAAAGTTTGTATAGGTTTTTAAAGTAGGTAATATTTGTAACAAGCAGTATCTCATTTCCAGTAAAGCTTCGACCATACGTCATCTTTAGAATTCTTTTCAGAAGTGGGCACTGTAAAATTAAGTTACAACTAGCAAGTTAATTCACGAAAAAAAAATTCAGCTCTGAAGTTTTATTCAGGAATAGTTGAAAAAATCTCAAAAAAGGACATTTTAAATTAAAATTTCTTTAAAGCATGAGCAGTTGAGTTATACTCATAATAATTTCACTTGCAGAGACCAGTGAATGAAAGTCTAGTATGAGACTGCTCCATTTTCTGTCAGATTCAAAACCTAGTGAAGGTCAATTTGGCCTTTGTTAGTGTTTAAGGACTGCGCAATATTTATCAGGAGGGGGAAAGGGAAGGGTTGAGAATCCAGGGGGGCAGCATCTAATTTTATGTGCTCAAAGAGGGGGGCAACGTCTAAAATTAACTAGAACTTTAATTGGAAACTGAAAAATCAACGGTGTCAGATTCGAAAACTTCTCAAGAAGTGTACTTTATAGCTATAAATGACTTGTCAAATTATATTGCCTGGCACACGCTGAACCACGTATGTATGCTGACGTTACGCACCTAACCTTCGCAAGTAGTAAAATCGAAAATATTGAATTTTATTCAGTAAATCAAGATCTTGCGAATGTTAACCAGTGGCTCATTTCGAACAAGTTCACAATTAATCAATCAAAAATCTAGTTTATGCTCATTGGGTCTAGGCAAAGGCTGCGAACGTTTCAGTTGTCTCTTGCAATCAACGGGATGCCAATCAAAAAGGTTTCTTAGACTAAATCTCTGGGTGTGTGCGTAGATGAAAATCTTTCATGGAATACGCACATCAATGAAATCACACTGAAAAAGATTGCATCTGGAATCGGGGCACCAAAGCGCTTACGACCTTTTGTCCCTTTAAAACCTTAATGACCATATTTAACTACTTGGTCCAACCCCATTTCAATTACTGCTGTGAAGTTTGGGATGGGTGCTCTAAAACTCTATCTGTCAAGCTACAAAAGCTTCAAAAACAGAGCAGCTAGGGTGTTAACCTATTCTGACTATGACGCTAGTGCCGAACCTCTTTTTGAAATCCTTGGCTGGCAAAATCTAGAGTCGCAAAGAAAATTTCGCAAAGAAAATTTCATAAGGCTGTCATGGTTTACAAATCATTGAATGGACTCGCACCTGAATATATGCGATCCATGTTCACATACCGTGACACCATTATACTCTCTGAGACACGACAAGGGCAAACTAACTGTACCAAAGCCCCACACCAACTACTTGAAAGATAGCTTTAGCTATAGTGGTCCCGGTTCTCTGGAACAGTTTTGCCACGATTTGCTACAACTCTTCATTCAATAACAAAAACGGAAATAAATTCACGGGGGTGGGGGGCAGAGCGTAACTTTGTTTGCGAGGGGGGGGGAGTAATTAACTTTTTTGATTTTTTCTCTCATTACTCAACCCCCCTCCCCTCCTCCTGATAAATATTGCAAAGTCCCTTAGTCACATACTTTTTTTTTTTTTTTGTTTAAATCGGATAAAACATTGATGACTCAAAGTTAACATATCGAACGAGAAAGGGAACTGAAATGTGTAAGCTCTTCAGAACAATCGCTACTTATAACTCCTATCATGTGACATAATGATCGATCCTCATTGCATTATTACCTCATGAAGTCCTAATGAGCTTGATAAAGAATAAATATTTACCGAAAATCCTGATTTAGTACAAAAATCGTTCATTTTAATCCTGTAATCGTCGATTGGTTCTTTCTTCTTGATGCTTTTTTGAACAGATTCCATGAGTTCTTCCTTTGGTGTTTTACCGCTTTGTATCTGCGTAGAATATCAATAGGCGACTTGTACGATGACGTGAAATACTACAAAGACCAGAATGCTTTGCCCACTATCTTTTGTAATGTAATTAGTTGTAATGTAATGTAATTAGTCCTTTTGTGATGTAATTATTGTTTTAACACATATGATAATTTTCTCGCTTTCTCATTGGTCGAGAGTCGTGGTAAAAATTACATACCACGGTGTACCACTGAAAAACAATGGACTTTCCCGACTTTTCTGTCATTGGAAATTTAGTTTCTGAATGGACAGACAAAGCGAAAAAAAAACAGTTTCATAATTTGTTGAAATAAATGTTTTGGTTCAGTTTGAAATGAGATTTCAGTTGCTCTTTTAGCTTGCAAAACGCGCGCAGTACTGGTAAAACAGTTATTTGTGGTAAAAAAAACAAATTCAAATCTCCAAAGGCATTAAAAATCTGAATAACAAAGAAAATTTGCAGAGCATCTTGGTAGCAAATTGACGCCATAACGTATGTATATCGTCTACAGGTAGTAAACACAATGAGATATTTTTTTGATTTCTTCATTTATGTGGTAACAGTGAATTAGTATAAAATTAACAGCAGTAACATAATCATTTTTTGGTACCAATGTGTCATTTGGCTTACCTGAGCAAGTTTGGTTTCGAAATCATAAAGTCTCCACAATTTCGCCGTGGTGCCGTTCAATTCAAAGAGCTTTGAGAACTCGTTTATTGCCTTTTTAACCTGATCTTGAGCCTGAAAAACGTTGATATTGGATCAAAGATATGACAAAGACAGATGACAAGGACACTAACAAAGATAGACGAGTGAAGGTATCCTTTAGCAGCATGATTGTGATCAGAAAAAGAATGTATACAAATGTAGCCAAGGCTGCTATGATGTTGAAAGATGATGGCAAAACGATGGCAAGAATTTAGAGAAAGAATAGTGAATCCAAATGTAATTGCAATAGTAACCTTAACAATGGTGCATAAGCAATGATAACTGCAATATTAATGCAACTGTGCTGTAGCAATGACAATTGAGATAGTAGCTAAAAGATTCAATCTATAGCTTACCGCTTTACTTTTGTTAAGATACAAAGTTTGCGGAAATGTGAGAACCGCATACTGCATCTGGAAGTAAACGCAATGGATTTTTATAAACTTTGTTGTTAGGACGGACTAAAAAATACAGTCCGCGTTTATAACAAATCATATATGATAATAGATAATATCTACTCATAGATAATTAGATGCACTTTAACATTGAAACGTACCGAAAGAATTGTGTTGGAAGAATTATATTCATCAGTGATGGCCCTTGCACTAATCAATGAATCGACACCAAGTTCTCGAGCTGCTTTTGCAATCCTAGTTTCGATGCTAACGCTGAAGTCAGTATTGTTGAATATGCTCCAACCACCATAGTCATCGATCAGTTTGATCAGCGGTTGTATTCCACTTGACTCTATTGCTGTAGTGTTTGTACATGACTTGTAAAAACGTGCCGTTTTCATTACAGCAACATTCTAAAATAACAATGAATTATATAAAGAATATTATATGATATACGAATATTTTTGAAGGAGGGAGGGAGGGAGAGATGACAAATGAATGAAGTGGCGGTTTAATTGTTCAATGGATATATTTGCTATTGAAATTGATTACCTTGGAGTAGTTCTGTTTCGCGTTTTCAAGACCAAATTTGAGCGTGACCTGGATTTCAGAATGAAGAAGAGTAGACACTTTAAGGATATTTTGCCCTTTTGACAATGGATGCCTTTCCTGCCAACCGCCACAAGCATATGCATAGAAATCTTTACAAGGATCTGCACTTTGATTTAGGCTATGTACTATTGCTAAAATTGAGATAAATCATAAAGTCATAGTTTCTGTTTTGCTATAGTTAACATTCACAGAAATAATACTAAATGAAGTAGAGATCTGAACCCTTTGCCGTATAACGTTGTGTGGTATACTTAAATTGAGGTGTCATATTTCATTTAAAAATAATAATAAAAAATAACATTAAAAAAGTCAAAACCAAATCAGAGTAAACAATAAACCTTTTCCTAGCTGAAAACAACGATCATCATTGCATAATTTGTACTTCTTTCCAGGTTTCTCGACAGAAGT